AGGGTCACTTCACCACAGTCCAACTCCGCCACGTCCGACGAAGGAAGTCGTCGCGGGCTCTCCGGGCCTCGTGCCAACGGCCACGATACGCCATGACTGAGAGCAGGACCAGGTTGCTCTTCTTTCGCCCACGGGCGGGCAGAAGCGACAAAGCCAGCTCCCAATTCTCATGGACCACCTGGAAGCGAATTCGCATGTGGTGGAATTGGTGTCGAGGTGGTGCGGAAACGAACCTGAAGAACCGCATTTAACAAAATCTGCTGTTCCAAGTCTAAATAAAATTGGCAGTATCCAATTATAATATCATATACCCCTTTCTCTGTCAGTTCTCATCATGGTCCATTTGAGTCCATCTTCACTCCTCTCTCCCACCTTGGAGGCCAAGTTCACCTGCGCATCCTCGTCCAGAAGCTCCTCCTTGACCAGGTGCAGCGCCACGCGCCACTGCGGCAAGGCTTCGATCAAATGATCTGCGCTGAAGAGATCGGGCTCCAAGCCCGCTGCCTGGCGAAGACGGCGTCACCAAGGCTCCAAGGCGAAGACGGCGTCACCGGTGACGGAGGTGATCGGAGTGATTCAGTTCCGGTGACTCTTAGTGTGACGGAGGTGATCGGAGAGAGTGGTTTGGTATGCAAAAATAATCGGTTTGATCGATCTGCGCCTCCACCTCGGGCCACCGAATTCTTCACCAAAAGCTGCCAAACACCTGAAGACGTTCTCCTCCGATTCTGACCCTGTAAAACCCCCGTGGCGTCGCCACCCGTTCCGTTCGGACTCCCAGAAGCCCAGTTCATGCCACGCATTGCCAAGGAAGAAAGGACTACGGCTACCGCATGGGGCCGAATTGGGTGGAGCGAAGGTGGGACCGACCTGGCCTGTAAGTCCCGATCCAAGAGCTGCATCACCAACGGCCACTGGAAAGGCTGGCCCTTCACCTCGGACCCTCCCGAAAAAGCAAAGCCAGCCCAAAAGTCCACCTCATGTTCTTTCTTTCCTCCTTTTTGTTGGTTGGTTTGGGTATGTTTGGGTCGTTCCTTTTCTTGGGGACCACACCCTCTCTCCGCATGAAGGCGAAGCGGTGGTGGAACACCCCCCCGTTCACTCGGCGATGTCGTCCTGCCACCGACCTTCTCCACTGGACCCGTTGGACCCGTAAGGACCCTGTTCTTGGACCAAAGCCTCGGCCAAGAAAACATCAGCATCTCTTTGGAGGCGCAAGTGGTTGAAAAATTGGGATTCACCTCCGAACCCTCTTCATCGTCTTCCGGTGGTAACACGAACCCTCTTCGTCAGTCTCTGCCACACGCCACGCCACGTCGCTTGAGGTGTTCGCTCGTTCAGGACTCCTCACCGTACATGTCCGAAGCCTTCGCCACCTCACCAAGGTTCCGCCACCCCCTTACACCACCACCGAGCAGCACAGGTGTCCGCCACCAGGTTCATGGCCACCACGCGATCCGGGTCGCGCCACCGGGGAACACCAGAAGCCCTCCTGGGCAGGAAGCCCAAGACCTGCACGGTCGCGGCGAACGACCTGCGCGATGGCCTCCCAAGAGCGGCCCGGACCAAAGACGAAGGGTGAGGACTATGACTGGCAGACAGGGTGAATTCAGTGGCCGGGGTCTGTGACCCTTTTCACGGAGTTGGGGACATCTGGAGGGAGAAGGTGAAAGCGAACCCACCAGGTGCCGAAATTTTGAGCTTCCATCGTAGCGAACAATCGTGACCCGAACCCCCATGGTGTTCAAAACTGCCCGAAACCAAACATTGGCACATATTGGCACCCATGGCTATCAAAAAGAGAGGCGGTAACCTCCGGAACGCTCCACACCTCTTCCAATCAGCTTCCACGAATCCACCCTGTCACCGCCCCAGCTCGCTCTCCGTCGTCGGCGTGCCTTGCGCCAGAGGCTGGAGACCTTCATCGCCGCGCTGTAGCTGAAGACGTTGGGCGCCAAACCCTCTTGGGCCTCTTGCGCTAAGGACCTCGGACGACGGACGTCGGTTCCGAAAAGGGGGAGGAACAGGGAACGCTACGAACGGAGCCCTACTAGGGCATCGCTACGACTAGGGGGCTCCTGGCCTTACTACGAACGGAACAAGGATGCTACGAACGGAACAATTTGAGGAAAGAGTTTTCAATATCTCAGGATCATCCTGTCTGGGTGGACACCCATAGACTGCCCGGGGCCCTCCGTAAACAGGTCTCCGAAGTGCTATAGGTATCAGAACAAGCAAATTATATATAGAAGATGTTCCATAATATATATTATAGATTAATTAATAGAACTTTCTATGGGAATCATTTATATTGATAGCATAGTTCTCAGAACAATGTTGTTGGTAAGGGTTTGTCTCGTCTCGTGAGCTCCAGGATGGAACCCAACTAAACTCGCCAGCATCGCCATCCGAAACCATCCGAAACTGGGCGATGCTTGTGCCATGCTCAGTATCATATATCATCTTATATCTTCTCTTGGGCTTCTCAGATATCAAAGAACCCACCGAGCCAAGACTGCATAATAGCAAAACGGTCCAACAGAGTCCTTCTCAACGCCAATTTCTTTGGTTCCAGTGTCAACGACCGGATCCCCAAAAAAACCCGACACATGTCATTCCAAAGTGAAGACTCCCCGGCGTTTTTGGCTGCTGAAGTCCCCACTCATGGTGAGACCTTCTCTCCGACGCCCAAACCACCGCTACCTCCCACCCCGAATAAGCGCCCGCCGAAGGGGCGCGGTCGCCCGTTGCCATGCAAAGGCAACGTCACGGGAGCAGCTGGTGAGCGCGGTGCCACGGACGATCCTCAGCCGGGTGGAGGGGAGGAGGGCGGCCTGTGCCCGTGAAGGGTGACCAAACATGAAGTCCTGGACGACAGGAGCTTCGTTTCTGGGATCGCTTGAACAAGATCTCTGACTCATCAGCACCATGTGCAAGATGATAAAAGAAGCAGGCCTTGACTGCAGATTTGCCAGCTGTCGTGAGTGATGAGCAAGAACATGTAAATTATTGACAATGACACCTTGTGTTTCCAACTGAGAACCTTAACAGTCCAGAAACCACCGGTTCGGACGCAACTGATGATACTGATGGCTTCTCGCAAGGTCCAGAGGCATTCCACAACCAGTTGCCAGCTGGACGCTTGTGGTAACGTAGGTCGTCTGCGGCACCTTCCATTCCACTAAAGCTAATACTCTGGACTGTCAAGCCAAGCATGACTCCAAAATTCACAAGTCCATGGGCGATTTGGATCAAAAAGCCCAGGAAATCTTCTAGATCAAAAGACTCAAGACGTCTTTTCTCGGTCTCTTCTTCGCTCATCCAAGGTTCTCGTTGCACTGCACTTGAGCTTTCTGGGCCTCGAACAGTACTTGGAACACCTCGGACCAGCTCGGCTCCGTCCGTCGAGCGCCACAGCTTTCGTCGAGCGAAGCGTCGGAGAAAGGACACACAGCGTAGCACGGCATACGAATGCTCCTGTGCGTGTGAGCTCAAATGGGGAGACTGAAACCGACCGCGAAATGTCGGTATACTAAACCCCCGACGTCGGTTTTTGTTGGGAGAAATAGAGTCATGACCAGCAGAAAAGCAGGCCAAAAGTTCTCCCCTATAGTTAGAAAGAATCATTACACGCCACATGATCGGATGGGGAGATCCAACATGATCCAACTATCAGAGTGGTTTTCTTCATCGGAAGAAAAGAAAAAAAACACGTGGAGTCCCTCAAGCCGAAGACGAAACCGTCTTCGTCTCACCCCCCTCACCACGGACTCGTCCAGTCCTCGTCCAGTTCTCGGTCTCGCCGCCGCGCCTGGAACCACGCGAGATCGTTCTTCACGGCGCTACTCACCGTGACCACGGTGCTTTCCAAGGCTTCTCTCCGTGCGCCTGGCGAGGCGGAGAGGCCTATGGAACTGAACTTCGGGGGTGGGAGTTCTCTTCACCCATGGGATAACAGGCCATGACCTGCGGCCAGTGCCAGGCATGCCAGGCACGCGTGCCGCGTGCTAGTCCGCCATTCGTCCTTCAATGAATCGTGTTCTCTTGGGTTGCATTTTGGATTGCAAAAGAGAGATCAGTGACACGGACGCGGATCAGTGACGAGGATTGCTGGTGAATCCAGATCCAACTCTGAGGTGCTCCCAGTTGACCTCCAACTGGGCAGAAGTTCGTGGCGAACTGGGCAGAAGTTCGTGGCGAACTGGGCAGAAGTTCGTGGCTTTGGCTCTGTGAACCCAAAAACCTCCAAATTCTGTGCAGTTGGAAGATCCAAAACACAACAAATAGCATACAAAGGCCCATCAAAGTGTTTGCTCCTCGTTTGTGCAGGTCGACCCGAGCTCACCCAGCTTGGGCGTCCCAACCGGTCCACCACCCCACAGGTCGAGCACCTGCCATCAGCTCGAGGGACTCCTCCCAGAGTTGACTACTGCTGCAAGCCGCCATGACCTCACTCGGCGGCTGGGCGAGACGGGTCGATGATGGCACGGTGACGTGGACCCGTCCGTCCGGAAATCACCGCTGGCGTCGTTTTGGCCCGATGGGTGGAGAGTCCTCCCATGTCGGCGCTCTCTTCGCCATGTTCGGGAAAAAGAAACATGGGGAGAAGAAAAGGGAACGGTGCCATGACGCCGCTGCGCTGCGAAGAAAAAACAAGAACAGATCGCGCCTCGTATACCGGAACCCGAAAACGACTGCGACCTTCGCACAGAACACTGCGACCGCTCTGGGCTTTTAACGCCCTCGTTCGACCGACTTCTGCGGCCGAAACCCTCGGCGTGAGGCGGGGTGTGCGCCAAGCATCCCCAAAACTCTTCGGGCCCGTCCAAGCCGCAAAATCCGTCAGGAATGTACATCAACGCGGTTTGGATCACACGGTAATAACACGAACTGGCCCGAAGTGCACTGGCCTGATACTGCCGGCGTCCGCTGACACGAACAGAAGTGAAGCAAAACAACGCACCGATTTAAAGCTTGGTACGATGATGGATGGTAGGTCTGATTTCTTTAGTCTGGTGTCAGGAATGACAAACTCCCAAAAATGCTGCGAGGCTAGCTTGTGCAGCCCAACTTGGCAGCGACAGGACGCACCCGGGCAGTTGAGCCTCATGAAACCCCTCAAGCCTCAAGCCATACGTATTTAGTTTTTAGATATTGGTTTGCCATATTCCCACTCAGAAGAGCTCTCAGCCAGCAGAGCACCTTCCCGGCGGCCGTCTCGCCGTCGTGGTCCCCGACGTTGGCCCTAACTCAGTTGGGTCCAGCGTTGGTTGGAATTCGGGGTGCACCCGAAGAGGTAGATATCGTCGGGGCGGCCAAACTTGCCACCGACGTTCCAATCCAAGCAGAGACCCGAGTCATTCTGCAACTTGATCTGCGTGCTCTTGGTCATCTCAAAGGCCTGAGCACTGTTGCTGGCATCGCATGGGCTCAAATCCACTTCCTTCTTCCTCATCAACTTGAGCGTATCATTCCAAGACAAGAGGTTTTCAAAGGGATACGCGGTCAGGCAGAGAAACTGTCCTCCAGACTCGACGAACATCTGGGCATGATGTTGTGTCTTGCTTCGAAACACGCTTGGAGCTGTGTCGCAATCACCGCCCTTCACATCAAGCTCATTGTAAGTGAGGCAACGGAGTTCAACTCTCCCTGAGTTGAATTTCCACGAGGTCTGCAATCTTCCCAGCTGCAGGATCTGATACCACACCTGGTTGGTCTGACCATTGCACGTGTACATGTACACATTGTCCTTCTCATAGATGCCAGCCACATCCCAGTCCAAACACAGGTTGTCAGTCCCCAGTTTGACGATGCCATTCTCCTGCCACTGGAACTGTTGCGCCGTGGAACCCGAGTCACAAGGATCCAGCACCACATTCTTGTGCAGGACATCCGTCAAGTTATTGGCCGGGGCATCCACTGCTGTCAAACAAAGTCCGTTCAGCATCAGTTGAAGTCGATCCTCTCCTGCTGGGATGCCCCAAAGCTGTGCTGCTGCGCCACCACAATGCATTCCGAAGACGTTCCTGCCCGGGTGAATCGTGTCGTAGGTCAAGCAAGCAAAGTTCCATGTGCTTCCGATCTTCCAAGAGGTCTTCAGCTCCAGCTCTTCTCCAGCAAAGGTCGTGGTCGTTGTGGTCGTTGTGGTCGTCGTGGTCGGGGCAAGCGTCGGTTGATTCACGCACGGAGGCCTCCGAGCGGAATTGCAAGTGGACGGGATGTTGTAGCCGCACATGTGGAACTCTCCATTGAGGCAATAGCCGTATTGAACCTTCCTTGGGTCCGGGATGATCACACGAGAAAAGCACTGATAGTCTGGCTTCACAACAGGTCCTTGGCAAACGGCATCATCCAGTTGGTCAGCGGTGATGTGTCCATAGCTGGCACTTTTTTCTTGCCAAGTTTGGAGCAAACTGTCTTCCTCACAAGCCTCATTGGACGCTCGTGAAATCAGGACGAGATGCACAAGGCAGGCGGTAGCGATTGCCGCTGCAGGAAGCTTCATGGCACCAAGCGAAGGCTGAAGCACTGTTACAAACGTGTCTTTTTCACCATATGGTACCCTACATATGGCGTTGGGTGTCTTCACTTCACTCTCTCATTGTTTCTCACGGCCTGAGCACTTGAAGGCAAAAACATGGAGAAGCAGCTGAACATGGAAAAAAGTTCTTCAATTTGGAAGGAAATGCAATCTGTTCCATCTGAATCCTCCGTCGAAATTCCTGGAGGGTCCTGGATGATCCTTCTGGCTGGTCCACTGTCAAACGGAAAACATGTCTGTGACTCTCACGACCTGTGGCTCTCACGACCTGAGAAACACAATGGATCAAGCGACCTGATTGCAAGAGATGATCCCAGACTCCACGTGCAGCTGCCGCATCTCCTGAACTGACGTCGCCGACGTCCGATATCTAGAGTTGGTTTCTGAGACTTGACATATTCATATACCCGGACCTTCTTTCGGGGTGTCCAATGGAGGTCCCCTAGTAGTGTAGGGGCTTCCAGCCAGGTGACCCCGACATGAAGGTGCTGGTATAGACTTGGAGTCTAAGAAAAGATCTGCTTCGTTCATGTTCGGACTCCAACCGAGTCGTCCGTCGATTCCGCAGTTCCGCGGACGTCGCGGACGTGGCGTCTTCACCGCTCTTCTGTCGACACGTCACGTCTCGGAAATCCTGGTAGAGCTCCAAGGCCTTGAGGCCATTGCCATGCTGGCAGACTTGAAAGGCGCTGCCAAAGGTGAAAACGTTGGGCTCCAAAGAACCTGATAGAAGTCGGAGGGCCCGGGGGGGTGTGACTGACTGACGTCGATGTCCGCGATGGGTGTGACTCCCTCCATTTCAACCAATCGCATGTCGTCATGTCGACACCTTCTCTTCACATCTGTTACGTACATCTTTCATTGTTCCAGCTCTGTCCACGATCCACGCCCCGAAAAAAACCGACATGAAAGCTTTACAGGTCCACGAGAGTGTCCACGAGTTCTCAGGGTGCCTTGTAACATCTTGGGAATCAGCTCCAGGGAACTCCGCCAGCGCTCAGCCCGGTCACCTCGGGGCAGGGGCAGAGTACGACTCCGTTGGAGCAACTTCAGCAACCACATCCCACAGCAGCACGGGGTGCTGTAAGACTATATAAGTGATCAAGTAAGACTTTGGGTCATTAAGTAAGACTATATATATAGTATATTCTATGGGTCATATAACATATGTTCTATGTTCTAGTGATCAAGTCAGCACCACATGGTCAAAGACCCCGAGTCAGTGTCTTTGAAGCAGCTAAGATGTGGAGGTGATCCCATGGCCCCGCTTTCCAAAGAAAGTTGATACGTCGAAATTCTGTTTCAACCTGTGGATCGAACATTCCACTCCGAATTTCGACGGGTGCACAAATCAGAAGTGTACCTTTTGACCCTGTCTGGGCTTTTGGCTCAAGAAAAAGGTCCGACGGGCTGGACCGACTGATCTCGTAACCACAGGTTATGAGCCCAAGGTGATCGTTTTTTTTGATTTTCCAAGTCCACCTTCCACCGTCGTGAGGACGGGGAAGTGTTGGTCCCCATGGAACAACGAAGACGCCGGCAGCAATGATCTCGAGAGCGGAAAGAGGCAGCGGCTCCACCGGTGGAGATTGGTGTGGCTGACCGCCGATTGAATGCGCTCATCGAGGAGGAGCTGCAGGGCAAGGCCATGAGGGCGCAATCAGTGCCTGTGAGGGCAGCGGAGATGAAGCGGCTGGGAACAGCTGCTGGGGCTGGATCAGGCCAGGGAGGCCCTCCGGCGGTGGCTGCATCGAGTGGTCACCAAGGACAACAGGAAGTTCGACAGCTGTTGAATGACCCAAGAGGCCAGGTGATGGGGCTTGGGCATTTGCAGGAGGCAGTTCGGCAGTCATTTGAAGTGTTGCAACATGCTCTTCAAAGGCCAAGTTCCCAACCTACCCTACTTGATCCTCTTCTTCGGCCCGGTGATCATGGAGGTCATGCTGGTACCGGATGCGGAGTTCTCCCAGGGCACGGGCTGGCGGCTGGTACTCCCTTGCGGCAGAGCGGGGTGGAAATGGAGCGCAGTGGGGCATCACCTTATATGGCTGGAGCAGGACGTGATGATGTACACCCTCGGGTGCTGGAGCCCTATCCTACCACGCCGGTGGGACCTTTGGGGACGGTGAATCCTTTTTTGGAGTGCTTCAGTGCAGCAAGCGGCCAAGGGTGAGTCACACGTGCGTGAGTCCGAGGTAACGAGAAGCCAACCTCCTGCGCCGAGTCCGGGCCTGGGACAAGTGGAACGTCTTCGAGAACGCATCTTGAGGGAGGCCGAGGAGACCTTTGCTCGGGAGGTGAAGAAGATGACGGACGCTGGAGATTCAGCATCGTTCACGTCGGTGCCGAGTGCGAAGGCGGAAGGACCTCAAGAGCCGATGGGAGAGAATGCCAAGCCCGGCGGAGCACCTGATACTCCTCCTGGTCTTGCTCCAGTACACGATCTTCGAGGTCATGGAAATGGATTGAATGGGGCGGTGAATGGGATGAAGCCGATGGAATCGGTGACAGCGGCCCTACCTGAGGCAATGCGGAATTTGGAATTGCCACAGTTGCCAGCACCTTCGACTGAGAATGCGGCC